CCCTCCCTCCCTCCCTCCCTCCCTCCCTCCCTCCCTCTCTCTCTCCTGTTCCAATTGTCCCTAGATGGCTTAAAAACCGAAAGACAGCGTTCCTACCCACTATTTAAAATTATCTTACCGGCACAGGATTGTTGTTTCCCACAGACAACTGTTAAAAGCTCTAATCCCAAGTCCTTGGGGGTGTCAGTGTGGAAAGTGCACGGGGAGGGAGCCGCCCACCACATCTCCCACCCTCAGCAGGAGTGACAAAAAGAGTTTAGTTCTGAGCAAAAGGCAGAGTGGTCATATTCACGGAATGGACTGCATTTAACTCTGAGAAAAGTTAGGATACACCTTAAAGCAATGGGAGGGGATGGTCCACAGCACCCAGTGCAAGGGTAGTTAGTATGGGGATGGCGAAGACGGAGGGAGAGCGATCCTTCTCAGAGGCTGCATTTTGAGAGTTGGTCCCGCCCCTGCATCACTCATCCTTTTTAAATCCCCTAACTAGCCTGAGTAGACCGAGCCCAGTCAGAGCCTATGGAACCTAGGAAAGTTGCACCAAGAGCTCTCCCCTGGTCTCTGCTTTAGGTGTGCACACCTGCGCTTGCCAGAGTAAAACCTCTGCTGGAGGTGGCGATGGGGCAGCAACTAATTGTGCGAGAGAAAACGTTCTGTTTTATTATTTCTACATTTGAAAGGAGAACGGAGGAAAGATCCGACTTTAGAGAAGCTCAGCAAAGGTCCTTGGAAGAGCGGACCTAGTTTCCCACCCACTCCACGCAAGAAACTCTAACCCCCTAAAGCCTTGACCGCGGGAACTTCCAACCTGCCCAGTTTAACCCTTATTGTGTACAATCCCCACTTTATTCACTCCAGAGCTGCCAGGAGTGGAGATTTTACCATCTTAAACCCAGAGCACTCCCTGGACAGAAGGCCAGAGGTCCCCCTGCCTTTCAGACACACCCGCCAAGCAGGATAGGGAGGGGGGAGTGTCTCTTCGGCTCACCCCTCCCCGCTCAGCTGGCTTCCTTTTCCTCCTTGCTCTGCAGGAGCTCGGTCATGAAGGAAATGTAGACGATGGCCAAGCGGAGGGTCTCGATCCTGGACAGCCTCTTCTCATAAGCGAAGGTGGGCACCTTCCTGCGCAGCTGGTCGAAGGCCTCGTTTAGGTTGAACATCCTCTTCCTCTCGCGAATGTTGGCGGCCTGGCGCTGGGCATAAGTGATGACTCTTTTCCTTTTGGGGCGGCCCAGCAAGGATGCTACTCTGCCGCGCCCCTCTCCCTCCTCTTCCTCCTCTTCCGGGTCCTCATAGTCCACTTCGCCCCCCTCTACTTCTTGGTATCTTTCCTCAAACTGCGACAGTCTCCTAGGTCTTCCTTCTCTGAACCTCAGTGTTCGGTCCCCAAAAGGGACCCCAGGTGGGAACTCGCAGAGAAGAGGGTGTCTGGGAGAGGCCAGAGAGAGATCTGCTACAAAGTTCAGCACGGTAGCGTCCAAGCAGCTCTCTGGATAGGCGGCCATCGCTCAGTGTCTAGCTGATCGATTTTCTTGCAAGAAGGGCATAGCTGCTGATGGGGCTCCTTACTGGCCTTGACTCTTGCGGTGGATGCATCATCACCAAGCACGGGGAGACATTAGTATTTATAACCAAACTGAAAAGGATTACTCGCAGGGAGAAGGGAGGCTAGGGCAACGTCCCTCTTCTGTAAGCTGATAGAAGATGACAAGTTTAAGCACTCGGAAGGCTCAAGGCTTCTAAGATATTTTTCCCCCTTGCTGCACCAGGCAGGGCAGTTCCTTCTTGGCAGCGGGCCCCAGTTCTTACCTGCTGTGCTTTTTTTGTCTCTGGTCTCACCCCTGTATCCATCCAATGTTCTCTTGGTTCCTTATTCCGTGTAGGTCTTTAATTTCGATTTGGATCTTCAAAGTCAAAATCTTTCCACTGCGATGGCTTCTCCTTGGCTTCAGGGTAGGAGTCCTGAATCTTGCCGCCATTTGCCAATGGATGTGAAACAAGGGCATGCGCTTTTAATGATGTCCAGAAGAGGGGCCCTTCCTGCCAGGGGTCGAGGGGAGCTGTTTGTCTGGTATCCCAGCGCAGCGGCTGCTGAAAGGCAAGACCGTCCATTAGCTTAAGTAAGCATGGCTAGGGGGCCCGATTGCATTCCCCAGTGTCTCTGTTGGAACCGGTGTCTTTTTTCCTTCTAGGACATCGCAAACAACTCACTGCCTGGTTACAGACCCTGACTTCTGAAGTCAGCTTGGACACAATCAGACTGACAATTGAGATACTTGACTTATTCTCCCTGTCTTATCCTCTACTGTGGAGGGTTGTAGTTGAAGGAAAGGGTTACGGTGATAATGAAATATAAAATGGAGACTCCAGACATTTACTGCATAAGCCCTTTACTGTGTAATTACCCCTTAGGGGACAAAGTAACACCATCCTGTCCCTGCGGTCAGTCTCGTCCCTGCCCCTCCCCCGACTCTCAAGCCTCCTTTGAAAAATTCGATTTAGCTTTAATAAGAGAGAGAACAGCTCACCCTCTGTTAGGGAGTTAGCCTTCGGACTTTTAAATTGCCAATCAAGCATTTGTTCTTGAACAAAGAAAAATCCTCACACTTTGATCTGGCTGCTACCCTCATTCTTTTGTATACCACAGTAAGGAAAGCGATACCTTACTAAATTATGCTTCAGGGAAATTTGGAGGCCATCCACAGAAGTAGAAGAGATTCTAAACTTGATACACTGAGAAGTTTTCCTGATTTTTATGTATCCCGAAGTTTCACACAAACTCAGTCTTTTGATTTTTTCAGTCTTTTGATTCACTGACAGCTAGTTTATCACTTAGTGTAGAGAGATCTGTAAAAAAACCAACCAAACAAACAAAAACAAAACAAAACACCTCAGAGGCAAACACATTGAAAAATTAGTTCCTAGGAAGGTCAGAAAAAATATCAGAAAATATGTAAATGGAGATTTTCTGGTTTCAGGAAGAATCAGGAAAGACGTCAGTTCCCTTTAAAGAGTAGGCTTAGCCGGTACATTGGACAGCTCCCAGAACTACCTATTTATACCAGCACAGTTCTTCCTCTTCTTCACTTCCCAGTGTGTAATCAAAGCAAGGATTTCTAGTGTGCATAGAAGAGTGATTATAGACACCAGTAATATTGAAAGAGAAATATTTTGTAATTTTCACAGGTAAGAAGTACACAAATACCTAAAGAGATAACAATTTTAATATTGTTTAAATATTGTTTAAATGTTAGAGAGCATATACGAATAATCACTACATGTTTGTCCATCAGTATTCCCAAGTTTCATGCCCTCATATAACAGAATAAACTTTGCCATTTTACAATGCAACATAATATTGGATTCTTTTTTCATTTTGATGCCCAGACTCAGGCTCTTCAAGGTCTCCTTTTATAGATTTCCCTCTACTTTTGCTTGAGATCATTCTTAAGTCCCTTATTGATATTGGGATAACTGTGGTAAGAATTGTCCATTTTTCTGGGATATGATAAAGAGCAAAGGATTTTTGTTGATTGCCTATTTGGTTTATTTTTACTGTATAAAAGAATAATTGAAAAAAAAAAGACAAAGTGTGTAGCCCAGATGGTAGAAAGGTTCTCTAGGTTCTCTAGTATGTAGGAAGCCCCAGGATCGATCCCCAGCAACACATAAATTGAATTTGGTGGTATAAAGCTACAATCCTACCATATGAAAGGTGGAGGTCATCCTCAGCTATAGAGTGTGTTGGATGAGTGACAGTTATGAGACCCAAGAGGAGGAAGTGGAGGGGGGAGGAGGAGAGGAAAGGAGGAGGGGGAGGAGAAGGAAAAGGAGGAAGAGGCATAGAAATATCAACAACGGTTAAGAAAGCAGTAAATGAGAGAATTGAGTTTCATGTTGACAATTCAATTCCTATGATTCCTGTTTTATTTAAATGTCATTAAATATTTGTGTAAATTTTGTGGTTGATCTTTTATTGTCTATGAGTTTTCTTAACACTTAACATATATGAACCAATTAAGAATCAGTGCCACAGCAAAACCAGATTACACGGTGGAAGAAAACATAATAGAAAATTCAAATTAAATTTGGTGAAACAGAGATCCAAAGCTACGAGGCACCTCCAAGGAGACAATTTTTTGCACTAAAATTCTTTCATCAGGTGAATGGACATTTCAAAAATCATATAACAGCAAGTGCTGGGTTGAAACGCTTGTATAAAAATACTAGAGATGAAGAAAGTCAAGTCTTAATACACACATACTTAAAGTAACAGTTAAATTTTTTTTATTTTATCAAAACAGTCTAAAGTGAAACTCTTGGTTTGTGCCACAGTAACTTATCTTGTGAAGCTCTAATCATATGGACACAATGAGTGCCCAAAAGATTAGAAATCTGTTAAAATGACTAATCATTTTTTCTACCATTATAAAACATACAAATAAAATGGCTTTTCATGCTTACTGCGATATACTTTTAAAAGCTTTGTGGCTATCTGACTAACAGTAAATCTGTACAGTAGACAGTGAATTAATAAAAAGCTTGGTGATTTAAAATAGCTCATTCCATGGGAAAGAATAATACTTTTTTTTTACTTCTAGACTTCAAAGTTAATAAATATAAATTAAAAAATAACGCAGTGTTGCTGAAAGGAGTCTAAATTAATGGGGTTGAGCTTCTCTGGATTCCGGGGTGTAGTGCATGAGTTTTGGAAATCTATATAATGATTGCCAGAAACTTTGCTGAGAATCCTTTAGGAGTCAATACGAAAATGAGTTAGTCGTGTTTCCTTCTATACTGTATTTCTTCTATTGAGAGTCTCCAGTAAACATTTTATTTATAATATTTTTGTAAATTCAGAATCAAAGCCAAATTCAAGCAACCAAGGAACTTGAACAATATTTTCAAAGAGACCTAGAGAGACTTTTAAAACTGGTAAGTAAAGAAAGATAGATTTTCTAGTTCCATCCATTTGCCTAAGAATTTCATGAATTCACTGCTTTTAATAGCTGAGTAATACTACATTGTGTAAGTGTATCAGAACTAGAATATATCATCGTGAGTGAGGTAACCCAATCACAAAAGAATTCACATGGTATGCACTCACTGATACTTGGATATTAGCCCAAAACAAAAGCTCAAACTACCCAAGATACACCTCACAGACCACATGAAGCTCATGAAGAAGGAAGATCAAAGTGTGGGTGCTTTGGTCCTTCTTAGAAGGAGTAACAAAATACTCATGGAAACAAATATGGAGACAAAGTGTGGGATAGAAACTGAAGGAGGGGTCATCCAGAGACTGCTCCACCTGGGTGGGTATCCATCCCGTGTGCAGTAACCAAAGGCAGACGCTAATGTGGATGCCAGGAAGTGCATGCTGATAGGAGCCTGATATAGCTGTCTCCATAGAGGTTTGCCAGAGCCTAACATATACAGAGGCAGATGCTCACAGCTAACCACTGAACTGATCAAGCAGTTCCCAATGGAGGAGTTAGAAAGAAGGAGCTGAAGGAGCTTAAGGGGTTTGTGGCTCCAAGGGGAGAGTAATAATACCAACCAACCAGAGCTCCCAGGGTCTAAAACACCAGCCTGGGAGCACATAGGGAGGGACCCATGGCCCCAGCTGTATATGTAGGGGAGGGAAGATGGTCTTGTTGGGCATAGGTGGGAGAGGAGGTCCTTGATCTGGTTGCCCCAGTGTGGGGGAATCTGAGAGTGAGGAGGTCGGAGTGGGTGAGTGGGGGCACATCCTCATAGAAGCAGGAGGAGGGGAGATGGGATAGGAGGTTTCTGGGTGTGGGGTAAATGGGGAAAGGGGATAACATCTGAAATGTAAATAAAATATCCAATAAAAAAATTCAGAAAAAGAAAGGTATATTTAGACTTTTTTAAAAAATCTATTAAACTGTTAATAATTCTCCTGTCCCATTTTTGTATTCCTTCCCATATATTCTCAAGCATCGTGCACTTAGTCAATGGTCAAATCATGAGGAGTATAACAAAGATAAACATTTGTCTTGCTCCCAGGGAGTGTCCTAAAAGCTGTTCCTCCTGGCTGTCATGATGAAGGGTTTTATGCCTTCCTTCTATTCAATTTCAAATCTGTATGAAGGCTGATTTATAGATAGCAATGCACATATGTTTACATTTTTCTACTTATATTTTTTGTAAGCTTGCTTTGGAGTTTATAATACATGCCTTAAAATTAATGATTTACACACGTGCATGTCAATTAGTTTTTAGGAAGTGAACACACGTCATGAAAACTGTCTGAACCACAAAATAGAACTCCTTTACTCAAGTTCCAGATAGCATAAGGGAAATGCTTTAGCTGCATTGCTTGGGACTATTTTACCAAATGAAGGTGGCTGTGTTGGAAGTACTAAAAGCACAGGAAACATTACAACCATCCTGAAAGGCTTCTCCTGTAACTGTGCCTAAATCTAACCACTACTCACTCTGAGTATGCCTATGAGTGTTTGACTTCTCAAATTAATTTAGCTCCAGATAAGAGGCTAAACAGAGAGAAGATTGTCTTCATTTTTAACTTCACTGGAAT